GGCCAAGTATTGCAGCACCAGGATCCTGCCTTTCACTGGGCTCTCTGCTCACAGCACCAGGAGACTTGGCTGAGATCTCTGGGGAGAGACTGCTTGAGGAACTGGCAGGGAACAGAACTATGTGACTGAGAAGATGCCACATTATCAAAAGGAGGATCTCAATCAAATTAAGTTTAAAACATGCTGATAAGATAAATTACATTTTCTTTTAATAATGAAATGGGGCTGATCTTTCTTTCTGTAACTGAAAAGGTTTTTGACTCAGGCAGCACTGTGGAAGTCAAAGAGTATCACAAAGAATTGCAAATTACATTCCCCAGCTCAGCATGATCTGGCCCAGTACAAACAGCTTTTGCTTCAAACAGATGAACAGAGGTGGGTTCACCCCAGCATTCATTTCATTCTGCTACAAAGCATCCATACAAAATCAGTTTTCCTCCTTGAGTCCATGTGCACAAGCTGTGCACAGGGATGCAGCAGCCATGCACCTTCATTCACATGGAAAATCTCCACGTCCCACAGGGCAATGAGGGTTAGGGTTTTTTTGTTTTTTTAAACCTTAGCTTTAGGGAGCAAAACAAATACTCTTATGTTTGGATTTTCTTGCAGAGGGTCAGCCTTGCTTTCTAGATAAAAAAAATACAAAAGAAAATAAATAAGACAGTAGGAATTTCTCAAAAGTATTTGTTCCTAATCAGGACAGAAAGTGGCAAGGACAGAGCAGCAGAGTCAGAAATCCAATATTTCTTTAGCCCTGGATCCCTCCCCTCCCCATACAGAGTCATAGAATTCATGAGGATCACCAAGTCCAAGTCCTGCTCCTCACAGGACCAGCTAAAACTAAACCATAGGTTAAATGTTGCATGCATGCATGTAGCTTCTTGCCATACAGGAATTACCTCAATCCACCTGTTCTGCTGCTTCATTTATTCTGTATTCAATATTTGTTGCATTTACCACATAACCTTAATCGTGGTTATACAGCAGATGGGAGCTGTATTCCTGCTCATTTGCAAAAACTACAAGGCTCATTTAACAACTCAGAAATAACCCAGTCCTGAGTGCTGTGGGCAGCAGTGCAGCCTTCTGGGTTTTGGCTGTGCTGTGCAATTTTCAGTGTACGAGGCTGTCAACAAGCACAGAGCAATATCTGTGCCAGCTTTGGTTTGTTGTGCGTCCCCCTTGACAAGCAGTGAGTTCACCCAGGGTTGGGCAGGTGGATTCTTTCTGGCTGGTGTACATTACCCACTGGAAAGGGAAAACCAGAAGCTGTTTCTACAATCCTGCAAGAGGATTGTAGAAACGTAGTGCTCTTCATGTCCTGTGGAGTCCAGAAGTGTTCAGCACCTCGCTGAACTGAGCCCCCGTGCTCATCATGTGCACAATCCCTTGTGTGCTCCTGGCTTCTCTGGGCTTTGCCTCTTCAGAACCATGTGATTTTAGCTCCGTTTATTTACTTTGGAAAGAAATAGGCAGTATTTTAAAATACCTTAAGTACCCTTGATGAGTGCAGGATTAGGTGTTAGGTCTTCTCAAAGCAAGGAAAACAGAAGGCTCTTTAATTCTTTTACTTTGTCTTTTGTTGTAATAGGGTTTAGAAAGAAATAAATTTAGATATTGCATGAAAACCCAAAACTGTTGCATTAAGCCAGCAACTAAAAACTCTTACAATATCATAAAAAAAACCATTCTATCTGTAGCATCCATAAATAAGTGAATGAAAGTGATTTTACCTCAGCCTCCACACTGACCACTGACACCTCCATCTCCTCTCTCCCTGCACAATGCAGGCAGAATGTACTGCAAGCAGAAGACCTTTCCTGTTACTTAGTTTTTCAGGAACAAGCTGATGAAATCCACATCTCTATAAATTAAAAGCCACTTTCTTTTCAATAATTTGACTGGTAGTTTTGAAGCATGATAAATAATCTCCTCATTCTGCAAGTGAACATTTCGTGAGCAATACTCAGCAGTTACAGAATGTTTTTAACTGTAATTAAAGAATTTAAAGGGTTTTTTTTAATATTTCATTGAAGAACTCAGCTGCTTTAAACAGTGATAATCATAACATATTGCCTGGAAGCAATAGAAATTTAATACTAAGCACAAACATTTTGGGGGATTTGGTGTTGGGTTTTTTCAGTTAGTGTAATTTAATAGTAAATGTTATAAATCACCCTCATTGGTTCATCAGGGAAACCAGCTTTTCTTGGCCTGTCTTCACGACGAGTCCTCAGCATCTGCTTGGCATCTTTTTCAGACAAAATTGGTGAAGTGTCTAAAGACAGAAGAGCAGAAATTAATTCTGAAATTATCAAAAGTTAGTATTTTATCTATCAGTTGTGAAATGAAATGTCTCCAAACCTGATTTTTTTCCTATAAACAAAGTGTTCTTTCATTACAGCCCCTTCCCAGGAGTTATTGCATTCCCAGAGATAGGAATGGAATTTTAAACCATTTTTATACTTGTGTTTTCTCTTGTCCTACTAGTATGAAGCAAAGCCCACATATTCATGGTACTATAAAATGAGCAAATACAACAGCACCTTCAAACCACTGGCATTAGTTGCTCTTCAACTTTTTGTTCTTTTCTGTGTTGCTTTATAGGATTTTTTTCAAAGTAATGAGTTAGATACATTGCAAAGAAGAGATTGCATTGAACATTCCACTTGCAGGACCTTGGTAAAATAATATTAAAATAGTAAGCAAGTAAAACTAAAATTTTGGGGTTTACAACAAATGACTACAGTGTGGTAATGCAGAGAGTTAAATATCAAATACAACATCACAATTGTTAAAAATCAAATCATGGAAAGCCTGCAATATAAAAATAGTTGAGTGTTAAAAATTAAATATATTAAAATATATGAAAAATTAATACTAAAGTAGAAGATTGACAGACTAATACTACTTATATGCTCTGCAGATCTACACACATATGCAGGTTTGTTGATATCCCTACCTGTAACAGCGGTCAGCAGGACCAAAAAGGAGACAACCACAAGAAACTTCTTCATTTTGATTCTGCTTTCCCTCAGTCTGTTCCAAAATGAGCAACCCTGACCGAGGCAATCGCCTATTTGAAGGAGCTACGTCAGTCCCAAATGTTTGTTTATGCTTTAATTTGAGTGATAGTATGATTCTGAAGACATCTGGTCTGAAGGTTTGAATCAGTCTATTATCTGCTCACACATTCTCTGCATAACTCTTTTCCTGAGGGAAAGAAAATAGAAGGCCTTTTTTTCCACCTCAGGCTTCAGAGGTACACTGGGTATTTTAAACTTGTGAAAATAAAGCCTATCCCCTTATATTTAGCATGGCAAGCAAAGGTTTTTGGTGCCCAAGGTAAACTATTGTTTTTTAAAAGAAACAACTGCCCAGTACTGTTAATCTCAGAGGCAGCTGCGAAGGCGCCCGTTTTTCAAAGATTGTCTCTAACTTTGCTCCAGCAGAGAAGTACTTACTGATGGGGTTTAACTCTAGCAAAGCCAAACTATGACTACTGAGAAACACAGCAGAGTTTTCTATCAAATTAATGGAACCATACAAATGAAAACCCACATCATTCTCCTCCTTTCAGGACAAGTTAGTAGAAAACAGGATTATAAAGCATATTAAGCATAGTGTTAAGTAAGGACGTAGGTTAGCAAATGTCACTGCAAACAGGTAGTTTTGGCCTTGAGAAATGTCTAGAGCTCTTCTGGGCAGTGCCATGCTGAACACATGGTACCAGCATCACCAATTTGTAGGGCAGGAAATGCATGCCTTCAACTACAATATATAAAATAGGTAGTCGTAGTTCATCATTGCCTCTTACACGAGGGAAGTGAGGAATTTCCTTGGAAATCTGGGTGTTGCCCAATTGTGCAGTATGTGCATTTTTCAGTGTTTTCTTAAAGATACCAAGACCCTAGAATCCAATCAATTTTGTATACGCTGTATGGACTTACATCAGAGCTCACTATACTGTTTTGAAACTGCAAAAACCTGTAGGTTCTAATGGCAGCCACTATTTTTAGAACTACTCCAGGGAAACAATTGGACACGTAATGACAGAATGAAATTATGAGGGGAAGGCATTTATGGTTGGGCAATATAGCAAAACCACGGGGAGGACAAAAACAGGCACAGAGGTGCGACTTGGGGGAACCTCCCTGCTCTCCACATCCACCTGGAATGTTGTAGGGAGGCGGGGACTGGGCTTTTCTGCTGGGCCTACAGAGGACCAGGGGAAATGGCCTCAAGCTGGGACGGGGGAGATTCAGATTGAAGGTTATCATCACTCGGTGTGGTCAGGCTTTGGGAAGGGCTGCCCAGGGAGGTGGAGCAGTCTCCATCGCTGGAGCTGCTCCAGAGGATCTGGACCTGGTGCTGCGGTTTAGTGGTTACAGTGGCAGTGCCAGTCGGACCGAGTGATCCTAAAGGCCTCTTCCAACTCTGATGACTCCATGATTCTAGGGCAGAACGAAATTATGGGGGAAAACATTTATGGTTGGGCAATAAAGACACAAACAACGCCATCACTCGGCCCCAAGCCAGCGCGGCCTTCTCCTCGGGTCTGGGCCCGGCGGAGCTGGAGCCGGAGCTGGAGCCGGAGCTGGAGCCGGAGCCGGAGCCGGAGCGGAGCCGCTCCGCCAGGCACTGTCGCGGCCGCTGAGCGCCGCTGGCGACATCCCGGCTGTCGCGACAGACGGGGGCGGGCGGCGCCCGTGTCCTGGCAACGGCCCCGGGCCGCTTCCGCTTCCGCCGCCCCGCGCATCCCGCGGCGCCGCTCCGAGCCCGCCGTGCGCCCCGGCCCCGGCTCCGCCGGCAGCTCCGGCCGGGCCGAGGGCCGGAGCTCGCTGTCCGCTCCGCGTGCCCCGCGGAGGGGCCCGGGGCAGCGGCGAGGGGCACACGGGGCCGTGCGGCCGCGTCCGCCCGGCGCCGGGGACAGCGGCAGGAGGAGCCCGGGGGCGGCCGGGCAGCGGAGGAGCCCCGGCCGGAACCCTGCCGTCGGCCCGATGTGGCGCAGGTCGGTGCCGAGCCCTGAGGAGGGATTAGGAGATGGTGCGTGAAGCTGCGCCTTGGCTCCCTGAGCGAAGGGGCCGTTCCGGGGCTCGCCCCGCCGCCTGCCCGAGAGGTGCGAGGGCTTAGGCCGGGAGGCGCAGGGATGGAGGGCTCGGGCGATGCCTCCCGGGCCGGGGCCGACTGGCGCCTGGCCGTGTGGACCCTGTGCTCCGTGCTGCTGCCCGTGCTCATCACGGCGTGGTGCAGCTTCCAGCGGTCGCGGCGGCAGCTGCTGATCCGGGACATCTTCCGCAAGAGCAAACACGACTGGCGCTACACGGACCTCTTCGGGCAGCCCTCGTACTGCTGCGTGTGCGCCCAGCACATCCTCCGCGGCGCCTTCTGCGGCTGCTGCGGGCTGCGCGTCTGCGAGGCCTGCCTGAAGAAGGCGGACCAGCGCTTCCTCTGCAAGGAGATCATGATGAGGGGCACCGCGGGAGCCCCCAGCTCCATGCCGCACCACTGGATCAGGGGCAATGTCCCTCTCTGCAGCTGCTGCATGGTCTGCAAACAACAGTGCGGCACGCAGCCCAAGCTCTGCGACTACAGGTACTGCAAGGCGGTCTGACTGTAGGAGCACTACAGTGCCATGGCAGTGTTGTGTTTTCCACAGGGTTGTTGGGAGACCACACCCCAAAAGAGATCCTGCAGTAGTCAGATAAGATACTGTTAAACCAACTTCAAAGAACCTGAAATTAAAATGGATGCTTGTGAGTCATAGATTAAGTGTGGTGTTGCATCTCACGTCCACTCGTTCTCTTAATTGCATTGCTCCAGCATGATGTGCAGGCTCCTGTATAATTATATGTAAGAGACTCTCATTGTCCAAGGGAGTTTGTATTTCAGGGGATGATATTAGGAAGTTTCTAATGAATTTATTGGTTGTACAGTGGATAGCCTGAGCAGTTTGACTGGCACAGCTTACAGTTCAGAGAACCAAAGTGCATCTCAAAATTGGCATCTGCTCAGTGTAAGTAGAGCAAACAATGTTCTGTAGAGGTTTCAGGTTCATTTTTAAGGATGCTCAAAAAAGCTAAAGAGAAGTATTGTAAGCTGATGCAATATATTGGTAAAGATTGCGATTGAGAGTGTTTTAAAAATACAGTGAACCATTAAATGGATTTGCACTGTCATTAGTAAGGCTGCTTGCAAAGTTATCAGTGCCAAAATGCAATGGCAGGTACCCCAGTGTGTTTCTTCAGACTACTTAGAGGATCTTCTCAGCCTAGATTCTGCCAGCTTTTGCTTTGCTTCTATGTGATACTGCTTGATAAGTAAGCAGAGTTACAGAGAAAAAGAGCACATTATCAGAAACAAAACCTTGAGAGTGTGTGTAGGAGAGGGAGGGGCAGGAATTCGGAGGCAAAGGGGAGAGGAAGGAAGAAAAGGAAAGGAGAGAGTATAGGGCAAGTGTCATTGATACTCTAGTTGTGTTTTGGATTAGTCAGGAGGACTCCAAAAATAGCTTTCCCAGCTGCTTAAATCAAGGCTTTGGATGTAGTAAATGAGGATTAACATTCTGCAGAGGCTGGAAGTGGATATTGCAGTATTTCCTCTTGTTCTGGTCTTGTTTTCCAGGACAGCTTTTAGAATAGGTCATACAGCAGAGCAGTTTTGCATAACTAAATCCCATCAGCCTTGTACAGTTCTGTGTAACCTTTTAGATTTCAGGCTTAAAGGAGTATTATCAATCTTAAGGAATGCATTAATTCATTACTTGTCTCACTGTATTGAGTTGAGCTCCAGTGTTTTATCTGTGCTCTTGAAGGATGGACAGGGGTTCAGGTTCTTTTACAGGCTTTCAGTGTAACTGTTAATATTACAAACAGGAGCATATTTATAGCACATATTTTTTTAATTAAAAAGAACTGAATTAATTTAAAACTGTTGGATTTTTTTCCCAGCAGAATTCAAATGCTTTCCTAGACCTGCAAGCACATGACCACTTTATGTAATTTTCTATAGCCAATACATAAGCTTCCAGGGAATGAAAATATTGCTTATAATGGTGCATGTAAGCATAAATATTTTGACAAAAGTCTAAAATAAATGAGCAAAATCAATGTGCCTGTTTGAAGATTGTTCTCACGTGTTTTGGTCTTTTTTCAGGTGTGTGTGGTGTCAGTACACTGTGCATGATGAATGCATGGTGGATTGTTTGAGGACTGAGGATTGTACATTTGGAGAATTCAGAGATTTAATTATTCCACCCTACTATTTGTCTGCAATCAACCAGATGCGTAAAGAGAAAAGAACCAACTATGAAAAGGTAATGGCCTGCTGCTTCTTGGGTTTAGGATATACCAAAAAAACCACCAAACAAGCCCACAGACAGACCTTGAAATTTGAACCCAATACATTGTGACAGTAGTAACTGTCAGGTAAATGTTTCAAGATCTATTAAGTACTTGCTGTGTTAATCCAGAGGTGTTTGTCATTTTACTAATGTCGTTGTTGAAATATAGGCAGATGTGGATTTTTTTATTCCAAAATACTGAGATTTGTCTGCCTTACTTCCTTGAATTTTTGTGAGTTTTTTTAGTGCATTGTAGTATTCATTGTCCTGAGCACTGCAGAATCTTCAGCCTTTATGTGTCAGAAGTATTTGTGTGTTGTCTCCTTCAGACTGACTGGTAACTTTCTCATTTCAGCCCTTGCAGGGGCTGGGGCTCGGAGCAGGGCTGTAAGCAATTTCAAACGTGCAGTATTTGTGTGACGGGCTGGTTTTTACCTTTTGCAGGTGGGCCCTTACTGCAGGAAACACTGGATGCCAGTAATGGTGCTGGCCAATACTCGTAGTGGAAACAACATGGGTGAAACTTTACTGGGAGAATTTAAAATGCTGCTGAACCCCGTTCAGGTATTTACAGTGCAAAGCCACCATAATAAAACCAAGGTTTAGATCAGAATAGATAGCATCTTGCTTACACAATGGCAATAGGGTCTTGTGGAAGATCAGCAAAGAGAACAAATTCATGCAGTTTGTTCTTTTAGCAAGGTACAGCTTCACAGAGGGCAACAAAATGTGCAGAGGCTTCTCCCAGCCCCAAGTTTGTTAGGATTCTAGTACCAGTCCATTTTTTTTGCTTACAGTAATACATGCATTCGTAATAATTCGGTCAGAAGTATCTGACTTTTGAAATAGTGTACACTTTTTAGAAAGTGAACCATTTAAATCTTCTTTATAGGAAACCTGTATTTGAATCCTCACTTTATTTGTGGAAATGTCAGCCTTGACAGTTTTGCTTTGTGTAGTTGCTTTCCCCTTAAAATCCACTGGGATGGCTCAGGATGTTGCGTAAGGCAGGCAGTTGTTCTTGGATTTCCTGGCTGCACCTTAATACTCTTCCTTTGAAGTTCAAAACCCAGCTGTAAAATACAGCCCAAGAGAAATCACTGTGTTTTTGTTTCAAATGCATCCCAATAAGGCTTTAAAGAATAAACCTCTTTGTGTGCTGAGTATTTTAAAATTACTTTTATCTGAAGCCTTTCATCTTTACAGAATTCATCATCATGCTTCTAGATAGAGACTTTTCCAAGGGTTCTGTCAGCTCAGTTTATCAATGCAATTTAATCCTAGGGAGGCAGCTGGTGCTCTGTTGTGAATTTGGGAAACAAATTGCTCATGAAAGTCAAGACAACTCATTTGCTAGCGTAATATTACAAATGGAGAATCTTTGTTTTGCATTAGAGTTAACTTCTTGAAATTGTTTATCTGTGAGACAAATCCTGAGTCCTGTTCTGTGAACTTACAGAATTCCTTATTTTCCTTTTTTCTAGGTTTTTGATCTCAGCAAAATTGCACCTGCTAAAGCTCTCCAGCTCTGCACTTGGCTGCCTTGCAATGCTGTCAGGGTTCTGGTCTGTGGTGGGGATGGCACAGTGGGCTGGGTCCTGGATGCAATTGATGAAATGAAGATAAAGGTATTGTGTTTTAAATTAAAAGGTGAAATGCGTTTTGATGTTGCCAAAGATCTATCTCTCATCTCTTACCTGCATTTTTTGCCTTCATCTTCCTGAATAGGCTTACAGAAGAATATTTGCCTAATTGCTTATTCATATTGGGAAAGGGTATGGGAAATGCATCTTATTATTCCGTGTAGTTCAGGGAAAATATTAACACTTTAGATTTTAAATTATATTGATAGTAGTTCTTTACTGCAAAACAAGGAGAGAACAAGCTGCTGGATATTTTCTGCCTTGTTATTTCCTCTTTGTCTGAACAGATTTATATTGTCCTAAATGGTATTGCTGATATTGGCTAGTGTGCTCTGAGTGCTCCCTTCTCTCCCAGCACACTCAATCTTTGATAATAACCTCGTAATTTTGCCAGCTGTTCTGGTTATGTTGCCAGTGCATGAGTGAGTGCAGCCATTTGCTTCTGCTCCTTGCCATATGTTCTGAAGAGTCTGTCTGTCTGCAGCCTTGCCTATTAGCTGCAAGTAGAGGAGAAAAAAATTAATTCTGTTTATTGTGGATTTGAAATGGAAGATATTCTCATTTATGGGATGCTCCTAAGAACTCCTGCGAAAATTAAGAATGGAAAATAATTTTAATAAGCTTTAGTGCTTTACCTAATAAACTGTTCCTCTAGTTTTGAAAGAAAGTTTTTAAAGTTTTTTATTGCAGCTTTCTTGTTAATACATAAAATGTTGTAGCTGAAGGCCATGATTACAACTTCATGCATAGTCCAACAACCTCTTTGAGAATTACTGTGTGCTGATAAAGTAGAAATAAAGTACCTATTAAGGTTAATGAATATGAGTATATGGTTGTGTGGTCCTGCACACTTGATATATTGTCGCTCAGTGCTGATACAGTTGATGAAATCTGGGTTTTTCTTTGTTCTGTTCAAATTGAGTCATTGGTGTTAGGTAAACTGTAGAGATTTATCAGCAAAACCTTTTTTCTTATCAGCAGTAGGTTATTTTCTCCCTTCATTTATCTTGACTCTCAAATACAGGTTGATACCTGGCTGATAACCTTTCTGGATAAAACAGTAACCAAAATGCCAGTTTACTACAAGTGCTTTTCACAGCTGAATTGCAGAGGCCATAGTACAGCTGAAATAGTTGTTCACTCTTCTGTGGTCAGGAGAGCCAAGTCTTTTGCTGAGGTGGCTGTTCAGAACAGCTCCTGTCACTGTGCTCTGCAGAGCTGATCATCACCTGCTCCATCTGTGGGTGACAGTCTGAAACTGAGACACTGACTTTGCTCCTTTGAGCATCTGTATTTCTGTATGTGCTTGAACACTGGTACTCTGTGCATCTGTTGTTTAGACCTAACCTCACCTCAGTCTTGTAGGAGCCTTTTGGTGTCTTGTTGCAGTTCACAGCCCTGTGTGTTACATCTCTCAGTGTTCGTGTCACTTCCCAGATCCAAAGCATCATTCCTGGGAAGGAATACTCTGCTCAGTATTCATAATGTGTTGTTCCCGTATTGTGTTTGTATTCTCTTTCCTTCAAAGCTTTAACATTTCCTTCCTTCACCTTATGTCTGGGTAAGTAGCTCAGTGTGCCACCTGCTCTGCCAGCCCCAGAGCTCTGCTCTGTGTAACAGGCTGCTGGGAAGGTGAACTGATCTAATCTGAGCTTTGGGGATGGAAGGGAGACAATGAGTGCTGAAGCAGGAGCTAATATGCAGTGGTTTTGTATCCTAGGGGCAAGAACGATATATTCCACAAGTTGCAATTTTACCTCTGGGAACAGGGAATGACCTGTCTAATACACTGGGCTGGGGTGCAGGTTATGCTGGAGAAGTCCCTGTAGAGCAGATCTTACGAAATGTCATGGAGGCAGATGGAATCAAACTAGACAGGTAAGGAACAGTGAAAAGACAAAATGCATAGCACCAAACACTGCTGTAGCTCTACTGATAGTCCATGGCAGCAGTTTCTTTACATAAACACAAGTGTTGCCAGAAGGAACTACAACCTAACTGAGGTCTGAATTTAGTCTTTTAGTTGTTCTACAGGGCTTAACTCTTTCATAATTTAACTAAATTTGAGTATTTTGCCTTAATCCCAGTATAGATGTGAGATTCCTAGCTACAGCTTTGATAGTGAGGACTGTCTGTCTCAAGTCTAAGTACCAACTGTTGTTTTTCAGATGGAAGGTTCAAGTAACAAACAAAGGATACTACAACTTAAGGAAACCAAAGGTATGGTTTGCAAGTGTGAATATGAATTCTATGGAATACCTGTATGTAATTTTGTTGTTGTTATCAACTTGCCATTAAACACTCTGAATTTTAAACCTTAATAACGTTTTTTAATGGAAGTTCTGTCTTACAGGTATTCACAATGAACAACTACTTCTCTGTAGGACCTGATGCTCTTATGGCTTTGAATTTCCATGCCCATCGTGAGAAAACTCCCTCTCTGTTTTCCAGCAGAATCATCAATAAGGTGTGTTTGCTAAAGGGACATTTCCTCCTTGGAGTTGTTGATTTGACTTCAGGCTATTTTTAGGTTCACGTTCCTTTACCACTACTTCCTTCTTGCCATTTTAATAAGAGTTTGAATTAACTTCTTAGGGAAGGGGATTCCATGGTAAAACATGTTGGCAAGCCTACTCATGAGTGTTCTGCCTGGCTGTGTTTGCTTACGAAATTTGCTGTTTGCTCACTTTTTGCTCAGAATTTCTCATTTGCTTTGAAACTTCATGAGTTAAGTGCTTATTCCCTTTTCAAGTGGAAATCTAGTTTCTTATGCAAGTTGTAGCTCATCTCATGGGGAAGGCTTAGTTCAAGGATGTGCAAATATATTATGTGTATGTTTTAGATAAGGTTTGCACGGCCCTAACTATACATAAATATTTCAAATAGTCTTCCTATGTATTATCTTTTTCTAAAAATATTTTCCTTTCTCCCTGTTTTGTTTGGGTTTTTTTTGTAGGCTGTTTATTTTTTTTATGGAACCAAAGACTGCTTGGTACAACAATGTAAAGATCTTAACAAAAAGGTTGAGGTAAGTTTTTTAACTTGCTTATTCTCTGGACAGTCAGTGAAGTGTAAAATCTTACCTTGTGAAAGAAAAGGAGAGAAGCTTTGCTCTTCACAATATTTGCACTTAATGATATTTGTGTGAGGGTGGCTGTGACCTTGGAGTATTTTTGTATTTCTTTTGCTATCTGCAGCTTACTTCATGGAATTCATGTCTTTGGGTTTACTGAAAATTCCTGATTGTTTTTTTTTTTACTGGCGTTGACTCAGTTCAATGAGTACAAGCACTGATATTCAGCTATAATTTGCCATAGCACTCGAGGCTTACATAAGTGAGAGTTCCTTTTTTCTTTTCTCTACTAATAGAAATTTATTATCTGATTTCTTGTGAAATCAGAAGGATTTTTTTCAAAGAAAAAAGAAAACACATTTTCTTAGTGCAGGGCCAATTTTTATTTTAAGTGGAAGCCTATTAAATGCATAAAGTGAATAAGTTCTATTTAAGTACTGAATTTGATCCACAGTAATTAACTTCTGCTTGTCTTTTAAAGCTAGAGTTGGATGGTGAGAGGATTGAGTTGCCCAATTTGGAAGGCATCATTGTGCTGAATATTGGATACTGGGGAGGTGGCTGCAGGCTCTGGGAAGGAATGGGGGATGAACCTTATCCTTTGGCAAGGTACAGAGGGCATTTTTTGCTTTGTTTTTTCCTTTAACAGTTCTTGCAGTGTAAGGAGTTCCCTCAGCAGGCTGTGCTTATCTGCAGGCTGGAAGGGTTCCTTGGGACAGGCTATCTCACATTTGTTTATTTTCCTTGAATTGGAGACTTGGTGTAAAGGCATCCTACACATCAAGGGGGTTTTAAGACTTACTCAAAATGTCTGGCATGACAGACAGCAGAAACATTGGAGAGGCTCTTAACAATAAAGTGAGCCTTCAAAAAGTAGAAGGTAGATCCATTTCAGAATCTAAAATACCACATCTCATTAGAAGTTAAAATGGAAAGTAAAAACAAAACACGTCCAAAATGTTGACTCCCATGTTGGGAGCAATACCAAAGAGAAAAAGAATTTCAAACATTGATTATTCCCTGTTGTGACTTCCTTCTTCAGAAGGCATCTATATAAATATACCCATAGTTTTGTTACAAGGCTTACAGTCCTGAATTTCTAAAAAATACTTGGGCAAGGTACTTTACCCAGACCTAAAAAATTAAGCCATTAAAAAATTTTCCTTTTCATGAATATCTGAGTAAAAAGACAGAATATTGTACAAGTTTATGGAAGAGAAATCCACTGTGAGCCTTAAATGTGCACAATGAGCCTTGGAAAGTCATATATCCATGATTTCCAGAGGCCAGCTCGGTTGTGCTGACTGGTGAATTGCTCCATAGCTGTGGGGTTTGATGGCTTTCTTTGCTGTTCAGTGGGATTTGTTCTCCAGCACAAATACATAAATGTGTTGGCAGCACAACATTTGCCTTCTCTCTGGGAATAGCAACAAGAGGATGTAATATTTGGGCAGATATGCTGGAGCTCATCAGCATCACTGAAAGAAGTCTCATTTTTTTATTTCATAGACATGATGATGGACTTCTGGAAGTTGTTGGTGTTCATGGTTCTTTCCACTGTGCCCAGATCCAGGTGAAACTGGCAAATCCTGTTCGCCTGGGGCAGGCACACACAGTGAGGGTAAGTGCTGCTTAGAGACCTGTTCTCCTAAATTGTTTTTAACACACAATACAGAATCTCAAGCACTCAGCTGCTTGAATCAGATCTGAAGTTGCTGTTTGCAGTTGAGATGTATATTTCTCTTGCTTAGTTAAAATTTATTATGTTATAATACACAGACCTCTGTTGCTGTGGTTGGTGGCCTGTGAGTGCCGCTCACAGTTTCTCCCTGGCCAGGCTGTGAATGTGTATTGCAGTTGTAAAAGGTGATTTCAGTCCCTTTGAGCTGCTGTGATTGTTTTGCTGTGTTTGGTAGCAGCTGTTTTGATTGCTGTGGTTGTGTTGTTGTGTTTGGCACCAGCTGATCCTGAAGAGCTCCAAGATGCCGATGCAGGTGGATGGGGAGCCCTGGGCGCAGGGGCCCTGCACTGTCACCATCACTCACAAGACCCATGCTCTGATGTTGTACCACTCTGGGGAGCAGACAGATGATGATGATGCCTCCAGCCTGTCAGAGTGACACCAGGGCAGGGAGCAGGTGGATCCAGACCTGGAGATTTTGTGGAATTGGAATTTCACGTGCGGCAGCGAGGAACTTCAGCTCGTTAAAACATCAATGTCTGATCTGGACTGAGGTTTATGAACTAAGGTTCATACTTGTGAATGAACTAGACCTGACGAAAAAGCCATGCTTCTGCACTCATGGAAACTTTCACAGCTGAATTACTACAACTGGTTTGCTTTTAGGTTGGTGGGGATGCCCTCCAGCCTTTCCAGCTGGAGCGTGTTCCTCTAATGGCTGGAAAGGGACAGATGCTGCAACCCTTCCTTGCTGTGCAGTCAGGTCTTCTGCACATCACAGCACCGTGTTTCAGAGAGATGTTTCATACCCTTGGAAAGGGGAACAGCTGGGGGTTTGACCTGCTTCCACCTGCCCCAGAGCAGTTCCAGAGAAGAAAAACCAGACCAAGCAGAATATGGGTTGATGTTCTGACAGCAGCCTGCTCCTGGCTGCCATCTCTGCTTGGGAGCAAGAGCAGTAACTCTATGCACCTGCTTGTGCAGTCATTTCTAATAAGCTTCACTGGGAGAGTAGAGGATCTGGGAGCTCTGGGGAAGGTACTCAGCAAGAAAATTGCTTTTGGACCAAAGGTTTCTGGAAATGTTATTTAAGACATGACTTTTTTTCAGTGGCTTTGTAAGCCAAAGAGTCCCCAACATACAATTCAAAATACTTGTACCATGACTTGCACTGATTGATCCTGTAACTTGACTTTGCTTCAGTTCAGTGAGAGACTAATTCTAGTTTTTGTTAATAGCAACATCACAGTTTTTGGGCAGGCTTTTTGGAGGAAAACTTGGACAAAGGAGCATCTTTTTTAGCTGTTTAGAGAGAAGGGTTTAAAAGAAATAATGATGATTGGCACATGTGGGGTGTTTTTTAAAAACTTGTTGAAGAATGTGGCTCATAATTACCTGGGAATGATCAGTAGTAAGTCAGTCTGTTAACTTTCAATTCTAAGTGTGGAGGTTGAGAGCTAAGTTTGTATAGGTGACATTTATGTGTATGATTTGATTGTGGGAAAAAAACATGGAATCATTTTTTCTGACTGGCTCCTAGGGGGTAAAAGATACCTTGCTGGTTACCCTCATTTCCCTTATGGATATAAAGTGGGGAAAAAGATGAGTGGTTGATCCTGGTAGTGGAGGTTCAGAACACCTACAGCAGTACACAGGGACTGTCAGCTTGGCCTGTCTGAAGCTTCTCAGGTTAAAAGCTTCTCAGGTGAAAACATCTTCATGGTTAACAAAAGTAAAAGGTCTTATTCCTGCTCTTTTTATTGTAAGAATTTTAAGCCTGCAGCAGGTGAGGACTGAGTTGAGGTTTAAAATATCTCACTGAATAAATTCAGTTTAGTTACTGAAGGTGCTCTTCCAAGTAGGAAGAGAATTTATCCTGTGTAAGCCAAGATTATAAGAAGGTGAGAGCTTTGGTCTAAACTTGGAATGTTGCTGCTTTTGTCATGATCCCCCAGTTTTTAATTTCTTTTTCTTTATGCTTACTGAAAATGAGACCATTGGGTAAAGTAGGCTGTGTTTCTAGGGTTTTTTAGATGAAACCGTTTTTCTGAAATCTGTAAAATGATGTTTGCATTAACAGTGAACAATCTATTTATATTTTAAAATAATTTATTGAAACTTGGCAAAGTCAGTATTTTTAAAACCTTCAACTGTAATCCTCTTTGGAAAGCATTTTTAACTTGATGGTATTCCTTGTAGAAAGTGTATGTACTAGAACTTCAATACTACTGATTCTCAGTGAACTTATAGCAGTCTGAAAATGTGATTAGAGTGTAATGAACTGTAAAGCAGAAGCCATTTGTAAATTCCATATTCATTAGCCTTGTACACATAACTTTAATTATTTTATTGTATGTAAATATAGATGAAAAATAATAGTAAAATATATGTAAAAAGTGTTTAAAATACCCTAAGTATGCTATGCTAGATGAATCCATTACCTTTTTTTTAGTTATGAGCTTCAATTTGTATTAGCTTCAAAAATCTTACCAGTTAAGTTATTATTTTTTTAATAACTTGTAACCATCAGGACCCTAAAAGTATTTAAGTTCTACACTGTACTTCTTATGTGACTGTTGTTTACAAACAAATGAGGAATCTCTGGAAAAGCAGGGTATGTGCTCTGAAAAGCAGTATCTGAAATGACACCACTGGCTACTTTAAACTATTCATAATGCAGTTTAGACTTCCCTGAAGTCGATCAGATGACTGTTCAAATTGGTTTATAGCCCAAGAACCTTTAACTGTTGAAAAACTTTACTCTTTTGACTCCTGACGTCTAGAAAAGAAATAATTGATGCCAAGGTTGGAAGTTCCCTGTGTTCCCACAGGGAATGGGCTTCTCCACCTGTGCCCCAGTGGGGGCTGTGTGTGCTCCCCACTGCAGCTTGCCATGAGTTCAGTCCAACATGTGTGAAATCCTCTGGAAAGGGTAAATCCATCGTTCCTGCTGGAGAAACAAAGTGAAAGTAGTGTCTAACGGGGTGCTTGTTTAGGAAAACCCCTGCTAAATGATCCTGGTTTTGGAGGTGAAGAAGTTTGTGTCTCACCAATGGACTGAAAGTGATGGCAGCAAATGTGGCTGTGGGGAAGCCTCTTGTGAAGCTGTACTCATGGTTTAGAGAGCATTCTGTGGGGCTGAAGTGTCCATTGTGACTCTGTAGCTGTCATTTGTGTGGCAAAAATGGTCTTGTAAAAAACAGTTAGTTAGCCCTGGAGCCTGTGGGAAGCCTTGCTGTTTCCAGCTGTTCTTTGGTTTCAATGTTTCCTCCTTTCTGGTGTGTTGCAAATTGGGTTAAAGCCTGTCTGGAATGACTTCGTGGAGCCGTTTCCAGTTTTAGCCCCAGTTTGGCCTCAGAGTGGGCTCCCAGATTGTCTGGCAGCAGCAGTGGGCTTGGCTGATTTGTAACAGAGCTGGAGCTGCCCAGAGCTGTGGTGTGCGTTGTGACTGTGAACTGCTCCATGCTTTCTGAACGTTGTAGGTGCACAGAGCCCCATTTCAAACAGCTCCTCCATCCAAGGAGTTACTCCTTGTAGGCTGGGACCCTGGGAATCCCTGCAGCATATTCTGTCTGGGAGAGGGGGCTCTGCAGCTGGAGCTCCTGTCCTGCACTGGAGAGTTTTCCCTTCTCCCGTTAATCATAAACGTTGGAAAAATAGAGAAAACGATATTTTAAAAAGCCAAATAACAAACTGTTTCTTCTGCCAGTCTGTATTTTATAGCTTTGTGTAAAATGTAGGGGGTAAACAATAACACTGATTGTCAAGCAGTTTGAAGTGAGTTCATGAAGTTTAAGTTGTATTGATGCATCCAGTAGCAAGTTTGGAAAAAAAATTAAGTTTTCAGTTGGAATTAAATTAGACTGTCTTCTAAAATGCTAGGACGTAACTGATTCTTTTGAATGTCAACCTCTTCATTAAAAATGCTGGTTTCTTCTGAGAAATGAGAGGTGCTTCTTGAACACAGGCAGCAGAAACCACTTCTTCCTGTGCTAATTAAGAACATGGAGAGAATTTACACATTCTTTATTTCAGCAATGTTGAGGCCACAGTTCTCAAGCACGACATGATCATGATTTATCATCTAAGAGTGCTGAATACCCAATTCAGGCTTTGGGCATCTCAGGGAGATACTTCAAGCTGGAATAAAGCCACATGCCTTGACTAAACCTGGTTGTGTTGTGCAGACTGACCTTAGCTGACGATCTGGCCCTTAACTGTTCAAAAGTGTGAATGTGCTCAAAATTGTACTTTTTAATACTGCCCTGTGTCCTGTGCTGTGTCCCCCTACTGCTGTATGTAATTAATTCTTTGCATTGTTTAATTTGCAACTTGTTTGTAGATTTCAGCATAAAAATAGTTTTCTTTTTAAGATTATGTAGGAACTTATATTGTATATGAGTTTATTGCATTCTGTACCTTCAGGGTTTACATCCCTCAAAAGCCATTTTGTCTGCTACAAACTGCTGTAATCCTTTGAGTACCTCCAGCCATCCTCTCTTTCTAGGATTTTTGTAGTTAAACAGAATGGATTTTTATTTTTGTAGCTTGTAACTTCAGTATGTATAGTAATTGTTTAGTAAGTAGTGATCAGAATACTGTAAAATGTTGCTTTTAAGAGCTGTAACTTTTAATTAGTAATTGCTACTTACAAGGAAATGTCAGCATGTTAACAGTTTAAAAAATATATTCTTTAGCTACAAATGCTGTGATGCTGCCACATGGGATTTATATTGAGTGTTTGTCTATATGTTATAAAGTGGCACTAAACAAGGAAAATATGAGCCTAAAGTGCAAGACATAGCTCAAAAAATAGAATTCATAACATTTTAGGCAGTTTTCAATTGAGAAAGGTGACATCTGGGATTCAGTATTTTATTTCCCACAGAGCAGTGAGGAGTGATCCGTGGACTCTTGGCAGATCAGTTGTTTCCTTATGGTGTAGTTGGAGATCTGTATTTATCTGTGCCCAGATGGGAGCAGACACTGCACCATTCCTGCCCCTCAGAGAGCAGAACCCCAGAGCAACCCCAGGGCTTGCAGCTGTACTGGGTGTGAGGCTTGCTTGCCATGAAAGAACCAGTTAGCATGATCTTGGACCTCCAGAATAAATGTTTAAATCAAAATTGGCAGGTTTTTCCTTGGCATCAAGCCACGTTTTCAAACCTCAAACTGGTTTTCCTTTGGTTTTGAAGAGAGGGCAGGCTGAAATGGAAGGATAAGGAGGTAATAATCCCTTAAAAGCCAGTTATAAAAGCAGAGGCAGTGAGTGTGCTTTTGTCTCATACAAATCTGTGATTTGTGCAGTGGTTAGATGGGCACAGTGTGTGGTTTGGGCCAGCTTCAGCCTGACAAGCTGCAGCTTCAGTGGAGCCACAGAGCTGCCCCGTTCTGTGGGTTCTGCACATTATGGGGGAAACTGAAAACTTCAGTTGGTTGTACCATGGCCTCTCTCTGTGACTTACACTCCCTAAATTTCTCTGTGGAGAAACATCTGCTCCATGTTCTTCATAAAAATTTGTAAATACAGATTTTTCACAGCACTGGCTCTGTTACTGATTTTCCTAATGCATCTGTTTGTCTTGTTATTTGTACTGTATTTCTCTGTAGATTTAAGGGCGTGGATTAAAGTATTTAAACTCAGCTTTTCCTTTTCCTTGTTATGCATAAAAACAAATGTGAGTCTTCAACTCTGCAGCAGCCCCGGGATGAGGATGACTGCCTGGCTCTGGGAGGGCTGCAGCCGCATGAGCTTAGGCTTATTTCTGAGAACAAAGTTGTATTTTGTTTAACTCTGTGGCCGTGCTACTGCCCGAAATTCCTGCTGCAAAATTTGAGCATCTCAAACCTCAACACATGGGAAAAATTCTAGACAGCACAGTAATGTGTCTGGAGGTAAAACTAACACCGGTAACCTGCAAAGATCTCTCAGCAGCTGTTTGCCTGCTCCTGGTTCATTCTGCTCCAGCTCGGGGAGGAGCTGAGGTTGGGTGGCTTTTCAGTAGGTGTGGTTGAAGTGGTTTGAATTCCCAGGCTTCAACAGTAATGTGAAATGTCCATATTGCTCCTTCTTACCTCTGTTGCCACTTGGGGATCTTAAAACAGCTTCTGCTGCTGCACATTATTTACTCGAAGAGGGGAAGGAGCCCTACAAATGCCTTACCTGTGACGAGCAGTTTCAAGTAAGAGGTTTAACAGATGTTTTGGTGTCAGTAGAAACTGGAGATGGGCCAGAGGTGCTGCTGAGAGCAAGTCAGCAAAACTCCCACGGGGCTTTCCCCGGCGGGGGGAAACGCTGCTGCGGGAGACCTTCAGGGATGGATGGCTCAGTGCTTTCCCCTGATGGCAGCAGATGGGTTCATTTGGGCCTTTGGAAGAGAATAAATCCTCCTGTGGGGCCACTTTATCATAGTGTCAGTTCCCTCCCCGAGTCCTCTCCTCTGTTCCCTGGTCTCGTTTGCACAAAAGAGAGAAGGGCTCTGGCCTCTCAGCTCCTGTATTATGCCACAATCAAACCCTTTAAAGACTATTTGTGTGTTGTTTTCCACTCAGGATCGGGTCAGAGCATAGATATTCAGCAGGTTTTTTCTTAGATGGGTAAGACAATGGTTTCGCAGAGCTTTCAGGATCACTGGCACTAATGCTGATAACCATCAAGGTTTAATGCATCTCTAAATGTTTTTAGAATTGCTGGAGTGAGCCCTGCAGAGCACCCACTTGAGCCAGACTTTAGCCAAAAGTTGTGCAAGGAGTCACAGCGCAGGTATGTGTGAGGAAGAACACAGAACATTAGCAAAGTGCAAGTCAAGGGTGAGATTCTGTTTTATTTTTTTGATAATAACAGTAAAAATACAAAGAAGAAAATTAATCCCTGAGCTGACCTCTTGTCATGTGCTTATTTATCCTCCACTACTTTGCATTATCAAGCTTTTCCCCCTGGTGTAGCTGTTTGAGCAGTCATAAAGCACAATTCCACGGAGGTAGCAGAGCTTGCGTGGGGATCCCCTGTGCAAAGGATGCAATGTAAGCTCAGAAATGTGTCCATGTGCAGGTGGTAGGTGTAAAATCTGCACAGCAAAGCTGCTCTCAGTTATTTCATTCTGTGAGCTTGTAGTACCTGCACTGTTCTCCTGCTGCTCCATAACCACCTCCTGTCTTCTTCACATCCAGTGGTGAAAGGATCCATCCAAAGTGTCTCCCATGACTCGGAGAACCACATGTCCCAGGTTGATGTCAGAGTCCAGAAGGTCTACAGGCAGAAAAACGGGATTTTCCAGCAGGAGGAGGGGAGTGGGGAGTGGCGAGGCCCCATCCGAACCCTTCTTCAGTGCAGGGTGAAGAAGGGAGGGGGAGATTTCCTCTTCACTGGGCATGAACACTTTGGGGAAGCCTGGCTGGGCTGTGCCCCTCGGTTTAAGGATTTCATGCTGGTTTACCAGGCTGCCAGAGCAAGGGGAGCCAACCCCTGTGAGGTTGAGCTCAACTGACATGAGAGACACTCCTGCTGAGAGCTGAAAAATTTCAGCCCAGTCTTTGGATTCTGAATCTGGAGTTAAAACCAAGAGTTAAAACCAAGGACTAAAGTTAACAATTCCACCCAAACTGGACCTGGAGGATTTCCTGAAGATAATGGCTCTGTGAGCCCTGTAAAGTGACTTTTAACTCACAATAATTTCTTTTTCATCACATTTTCTTTGCCTCACAAAATAACTCTTGATTTTGGAAAGACAGTATTTTGGGGAAGGTTAGAAGCAGCCTGTGCTCAGGATTAGAAAAGTCTAACATCTCTTGGTCTGTGTAAATGTTATGTGCTTTTTCTCTAGATATTTTTCTCCCCTCCCCAATCTCTGCTTGATTTCTCTTCCTTTAAAGGCAAATGTGAAAACTCCCTCTAACCTGGGAGGAAAAAACTACCTCTAAAGTAAAAAAAGCCCTTTCTTCATCAAGAATTACTTGATTTTTAAAATGGAATGTAGGTGCTGTAAAAAGTACGTGCTTTTTTCTGACATTGAAAAAACATTAAGGAGTTTAATACAAGCACAAACAAAATGCAAACTACATTGCCTCCTTCAAGTTCTGTTGAACTAATTTAGGATCAAGAATTGCTCATGATGGTATTTTCACCTAAATTATCTGCCTCTTTTCAATTAGCCTTTATTATTTGATTGGTGGCTCCTCCCACTCTCCCTTAGTGCTTTAGCCAGACTCACACAATTGCCTGTATTTTATGTAAATGGAATTGCTACACCGTAAAATGATATACAAATGTGCCTACCACCCAGAACCCAATAAATGGTGTGAATAAACCCATTATTTCCCATGTAATGGCATCTGGCTGCAGCCTGGGCAACACGGGGCTGACAGATGTGAGCCCATGGCAGGGCCTGGAGAAAACTGAACGAGGAGAACTCTGACAGGCCACAATTAATTGACTTTTGGAATGACTCCTCTTTTCCACAGTTCTACTTGGCTGAGCAAGATTCACAAATTGCTGTCTTGAACTTTTTTATGGGACAAAATAGCTGCCAATGAAAGTCTAAATGACATGAGCTTTGAATAGAAGTCATGCAATGACCACACTGTGACACGTTTTTAACTGACATTGATTATTTGAGAAGTAGCAGCCACTTAATTGGAAGGGAATTAGGAAGGGGGGAAGAAATGGGAGGGAGTCAGAGGCCTGCGTACAGAAATACATTGTTAAACCCTAACCAACACAATTTTACTAAAATAGGGAATGTCTTGATAAACATTTTTACATGTATTCACAGAAAGTATGATTTGGAGTCTAAGTCAGTTTTCTTTTTGCTGTGAAAAAGTGTTCACAAAGCTAAATCAAGAGGAAATGCCATTAGCAAGGAAGAAAACAGAATATGAATGTGATGATGCTGACTTCCCTGGGGCCTCAGTACCTGTTCAGGCCTCTGGCTGTAGTCACAGTCAAGCTTACACAGGCTTAAAATACCTCCTTGTCTGTCTTTGGAAACTGAGGCAAAGCTCTGGCAGACCTAACTGACCTCCTAATCCCAGGGACAGCATGGGACAAGCAGTGAAGATGAGGATTTTACCCCCCCTTGATTTTTGTAGTACCTATCACACTCCTCAAGCAACACTGTATGAGTCTACAAACTCTACTACTGTTTGTATGAGTCTACAAACTCTTCAGAGATTTCCTTCCCCAAAACCTTCTTCAGCCCAACTCACTTGGAGAACTTTAGGTGGAAATGTTTGACTTGTTTCATGGATGCTTTGTTTGGGCTGATTTTTAAATCTGCTGAGGCACCAGAGCAGCTCCCTGCTGAATTGTTTTCCACTGGCCACATGGGGAGGCAGCAGCTTGCAATTTCACTGGGTGAAATCATCAGGAATCACCACCTATTGCTGCTTCCAGGTGTAACTTGGGCTGGCAGATGCTGGATCTCACCTAAGGCTTTTTAGAGCAATCCCACACTGTGTCTTCAATTGTCCATCTTCCTCCAGCATGGAGGACCATGGTTGTGCTTACCCAAGAAGATCTCCAGTTTTGTTTCCTGGGAAAGATGATCTCCTCATCCTCAGTGAGGAGGAGCATTACTGACAATGGGTGTGTGGCTCAGTGTCACTCTTGCACTGAGAATGACACAGGGACAGGCGGGAGGCAGGATTGTAGAAGGATCCAAGAAGGATTTATTGCAGAGACCCGCGCGGTTTAAATAGAGTGATGCGATGGATTCTGTTTGATTGGCTAACTAACAAAAACACCTTCCTCACACACCGTCCTTGAGAAGAACAGAAAGATGAAACAGAAAAACACCACCTACAGATTGTTTATACTTAACAAGTTATCACATCCTTACAACTCCCTGAAAATTCTCACAAGCCGCTGTGAGAAACGCTTGCTGTTTGCCTCTCTCTCTCTGTCCCACGGCATGCACAGCCCAGGGGAAGGAGGCAGTTCAGGACCAGTCCAGAGAACACCACAGCTCTGCCTGCCCCTTCCCCAGCTCCCCCCAGCCCAGCGAGTGAGGCACCACCAGAGCTGTCCTTTGTTGTGTCTTCACCGCTGCCTCCCTCCCTGCTTCGAGCCTGAGCAGAGAACAAAACATTCAGAGTTAGGGTTTACTGTGAGTTTTTATTGAATTCAAGCCATCACCAGTCACCAGCCACCCCTGGAGTGGGCACAGGCACAGGGACCTGGTGGCACAAACCCCATGGTGGTGGCCCTGCCTGTGTGTGGCTGGCACAGCTACAAACAATAACACACCGTATACAGAATGAAGAACAGGGCTGATATATCAGTGTAATCAACAGGTTTATAACTGCATAAGCATATATTTTTCTAAATACACTGCTTTACTGATGTCTTTAATTGAAGAAAAGATTAAACATTCATTTATTTTCATTCAGCAACTGTTTTTTTTTATTTACTCTCACTTGTATAATAAAATGCAAATCAATGCACATTCTCATGGTGTTAACACCAGAATTAGTTCTTTTTCTAGACTAAGTTGCTTTCTTTGTAATACTAAAAAGAGAATTACAATTAAAATATATGCTCCTATATATGTCTTCTTTAAATTCAGTGCAGTTCTTACAGGTGCCTCCCAAGTAAAACCAATCCATTTGTGTTGAAAAGGCTTTAAAATGATCATTTATCGTGCAGTAACTAGTATTTCTCCTAAACACACTAATATTTACTATTAGTTATAAAAGTTATATCACACTAATGTTTCAAAATATGCAAGATACCTGAAGCTAACCAAAACATTTCTCAGATGCCCAGAGATTGGTCCTAGTAATGCCAAGGTCCCCATTTCCATCCCCATATGGATCATTCACTCAAGAGCTGGACTCAGTGATCCTTGTGAGTCCCTTCCAACTCAGAACATTCTGTGATTCTGTGAATTCCAAATTAACAGAACTTTACTCTATGACTTCTAGTCATTCATAGCACAAAAGAAAGCAAAACAGAGGTTCAGGAGCCCAGCAGAAGGCTTGTTTCACTGCCTGGTAACGCAGGACACCTTATGTGTCCCACATGCTTGGTCCTGCCCCAGTGTCCCATGTCAAGAATTCCACTTCGTCCAACGAGGCAGAATAAAAGCTGCTCTTTACTTTGTTTGGGTGTCCCTCCAGACCATGGCCACAGAAGCCCACAGACTCAGAGGCCAGTACTGACACCTCTTTGAAGTCAAGAAGCAAGGAACAGAGGATGGGGACTTCCTCCACTGCACAGACTGCTGGAGCACGTTTTTGCCCACAGCCAAGGGGACAGAGTACTCCTTCAGCACCCTGCTGAGTGCATCTGCAGCCCTGTGCACAGCCAAGGAGCAAAAGGATTTCTCAGAGGGAACTGCTCTTATCTTTCACTGCTGAAAGGAAGGGCAGAAAACTGGAAGGGCAGAAAACCCAGTCTGTCACCCATTGCTGGCTCCCAGCAGGACACAGCCTCCTTCTGCACCTTTTGCATGTTCTGCCCAGGCTGGGAGTTTTAGTGCTGACTGTGCTTTGGAAAGTGGAGACCCTTCAGGGAGTAGAACTGCTCCAAAGACAGCCATGGCACTTTTAGATCCATCATCGATTCCATATCCTATTCTGACCAAAACATTGGAAGAAATGAGACTTGTGCTATCTTTGACAAAGTACTAAGAGTTTACAAGCCAAGTAAAAACAGACACCAAGCCTGAATTCCTGAAAGCCTCTCTCCAGAGCACTTTGGCTAATGTAGTCACAGAGGTTCTTTTAAGCCTTCTAAGAATTCCCTGCAAAACTGCCAGCAGTGGCTTTGTGTTCTATTTCACCAAGTCCTGTAAGGGCAGTTTTAGAAATCCAAGTCCAGGAAGGCTCTCATGTGAGCTTCCCATGGGCTACAAGAAATAAAAGCTGGCACAGTAAGTCCAGGTTTATATGGACGCAATAACTATGAGATCCAAATACCTTGATTGCCTACAGATGGTTTTAAAGTTGTAAGGAAGAAGTACAGATTTCTCTGTACCTGGTGAGAACTTCTGAAGACATACCACAACCCAAAGAACACCAGGAGAATTAAAAATCCATCCCAGAAGAATGGATGTATATTCTCCTTTGTGCTAATTCTCTGTATGTCAAAAGACTCACCATGTCTGCCCACAGGCTTCACACAGAGAGGAACCAGCATTTTCCAAGTACTTGCACTCTGTCTTGAGACTCCTCAAATTGGAGTCCCAAAAACATGCAAGAAATCCAGTTTCTACCACCTGAACAACAAAAGGTACACCAGGAGAGAATATCCCACCTCATACAGAGGAAAAGCTTTATGACAGGAGGCCCTTCTTTAAGCTAAAGATACACCAGCAGAGAATATCCCACCTCATAAAGAGGGAAACATTAGAATGGGAGAACCTGAGAGCAGGAATGCACCCCCTGAACTCCCCAGCACACACAAAAAAACCCAGCACTGAAGAGCCTTCAGTGTGAAGATGTGAAGCATGTTCTGGGTCAGAAGATGACACAGAATGCTTCATCCCACAATCTTCATCACAGGATGCACACCACTGCTCTGCAGGATGTCTTCCTGACAACTCTCTGGTGTATTCCCAGTGTCTGGGCTGATGTCATTTGTTTCCTGGTGATTCTAATACAATTTATTTCCCATCAATTCTAGAAGTCTCCGCAGTTCCATTCTGATTAGATTTGTCACAGTGGCTTTTATAACTTACAGCCATAAGACCTGAACTTAGGGATTTCAGCAGCTCTTTCTGTAGCATCTGGTGGAGTCCTATGTCGCCCTGATTTTTTAAGATGTTCTAAGCCTTCTGAGGTTTGCATTCTTGTAGCAAACTTTCTCACACACTTTCTGTAAACTGATTGTTTTGCGTTCTTCTATGGAGGAGGAGAAACTTGATGGACTTTGGTTTGTCCAGTGTCATTGGAGAGGTGGCACTTTCACCCTCCAATCCACTGTCACCTTTGGAAACCTATAAATGTTGGGAGTCAGAAAATAAACTTCTCTTTTTCCCACCTTGAGAGCAGCAGTATGTCTGCGTCGTGTTGTCTCGTGTCCTATAGTGACAGTCCTACACTGAGAACACCTGTATGGACAACAGCCTCTGCACAGGCCAAAAGGCAACAGTGAGACCTCCCTCAAAGCCTGAATTTGTCAAGGAATTCTTCCTGTTTCTTTCTCAAAGGGATTATTGTTACCCATGAACACATTAATTCTGTTGCTCCTTTACAGGAAACCACAGAAGCCACAGGCGCCACTGAAGACATTTAACAAGGATTTGCACCATAACTTTGATTTCAGGGCAACCAAGACCTTTGCAAACCACTGTAGTTTGTACCATCACCAACATTTTGCTAAATCACTATCTAAAGGCTTTAGCAATTCAGTCCAAAGAACTGGCAGATTTCCTAAACTGCTTAAAAGAGATGATAATTTCTATATCAAACAATCAATCTTTGAGACAGATTATCTGTGCTGTAAATGAACTAAACTGAGATACAAGACCTTACTCTTTCATGTGACAGAG